TCTCAAAGCTCAACTGGGACAATTATTCGGTCGCATTCCATTTGCTGGATTGAACAGAAAACAATTCGATCAATTATGAGATTTAGCTGCAATCACTCTGAAGGCCATTGAACGAGCATCTGCTTTGTATTGTGATCGTTTCATTCAGAATCATTGTAAACTTCAACATTATGGCTACGAAAATGAACATAGATATAACATCAATTCTACTTCACTATCATCATTCTTCAGTTCAACCAAAAGTCTTCTGTTTACCGAAATTCATTGTGGTGGAATATCTGGAAATTCTGGTCTGATGGAAGACGTACGTGCATCAGTTTACCGTGGAACCGAATTTCTACAGAGCGTAGAAATGACATCAACTCAGAGTAATAAATATCACGGGATTCACGGCGTTCTCAAAGAACCCATTGCAACGGAACCAAACGTGCAATATGAATTTAGACTTTACCAGCAATTATGGACCAGTACCACGACTGATTTTTCAAAATCCCTAAGAACAACATTAAAATGGTTTGCGACCAATTCAATAACTCAATATCCAAGAGAATGATGCTCTTTATCTCTTTATCTATGCTACTTTTTCGTTTTCATTGCATTAACCGTAACATTTCCGATTATTAGAATAAAATACAACTAGATTTTGTTAGGCTTAACATCTGCTCAATTCGCATAGATTCAATATTGATATGTTACAGATTAAGTCAGTTTATTCATTACAATTTGTGTAATTCAAAATATGTTAAGTTCATCCATCAAATAAATTCCATATGTCTTTAATTAGAACTTCAGCAATCTGACTTGAAACATCGTTTATGTAAAAAATACAAATCAAAGAATAATCAAAGATACAATCAAAATATCTTTCGTCGATGATTACCTTAAGAAATGCTTGTGTTTCAACGTCCAATCGCTGATTGATTATTCGAAGTTTTCCTTCCTTAACGAGATGAATTGTTTTGGTAGAAATAAGTTGTGTCATTTTTTGCACTACACGAAATGTAGACCGGTTGGTTTGGTTTTTTTCCTGACAATTTTGTGGTAAACTAAAAAGTGATTTTCAGAATTAAAGAGATTTTCCATTTTATACTGACATTTTTTCTTTAATAATTCATTTATTAGCCGTGGAATCATATTAGAAAAATGAAATAGAATTAAGATCATCATTTGAAAATGCATATTTCCAAGGCTGAGAAGTTTTCAACGATGCATGCATCATGCATGCTAACGAAAACTAAACGGATCGAGTCTATGTCTTTGGATTCATCTTGCTCCAAACTGTCTAACTATAACTCATAGCTTTGTGAATAATATTTGATGAGCGTCATTCCCAAAATCTCATTGAATTACTTACCCAAAAAAATATAAGGTGGCCACTATCAATTATCTTGAATGAAATATGAATTAAAGCCCATTATTAATTAGCTTCACAAGAAGAATGAGATAAATACTAATTAAAATAGTCAAGAAAAAGACAATTAAGAACGATAGGGAGTTTTGTTTACATTCTAAAGAGTCAATCAAAATATTTATTAAAGTTTTGAAAAATCATGTCTTCCCGTGTTGCATGCATGGAAAATAGATAACGATTAATGTAAATTGATTACGAGAAAAATAAACTAGAAGATTATGTAAAATAAGTAAAAATGAGACTTTTTCTTAAATTTCTATGTTGATTATGAATACGAATAAAGAGATGCTTTTACAACTGAATGTTTCGATGCTTTTTTTTTGCTTTGAGATCATATCTAATCATAATATTTCTTGTTGAATATTTGGATTTAAGCCAATTTTTCTCGTCAGAAATCGTTCGATCAGTCCATTTTCGAATCGTCTGCTACAACCGCTGCAATCGTGCCACTCGCGCCACACGGTTCAGCCTGATTATCCTTCCAATCACCATCATCCACTTCAACCGTTTCGATCGTAACACTCACCCCAGCCTGGTGGTGGTTATTTGCGTTAGCGCAAACAGCTTTATGCCCAAACATGAAAAAAAGGATAGTTGGACGGTTCAGATTCAGCTGCAATAATTTCGATCATTTTGAATTCAACGAACTTGACCGGGAAACTAGCGAAAAAATCCTTTGAATGGATGTAGATCTTCAAATGGGCAGCGCCATGAAGTTCCATGCGTTGCCGGTTCAATGCCAATAAATTGATCTTGGTGAGTTGGTCTGTGGAACCATTGAGAAAGATTTTCGTTAGTTTCACCAATTGGCGAACAGCAGCCAACATATTGCAACGAAATTTTTGGAAATTGAAGTATGAAATTTCGTCGATGTACAATTCAGTCAAGTTGGGCATCTTTGCAATCAAATCGGTGTGTGCAAACGGTAAATGTGATGCTGCGATCCGCAAAAACTGGAGATTTTTGAATGTATACATTGTGGTAAGCACCTCGTCAATGGAAACGTTGAAATAAACACCAAACATGTTTGAATGAAGGAATGCCAGTTGCGAAATGATATCAGCTTTGGAAACCACCAGATGCAAGTTCACATTTTGAGCAGCGACCAACTTCATCAGAATATTCATCGTATAATTGAACTGGATGCCATCAGCAGTTAATGCATCTCCACTTGGACTTCTACTTAAATGCAGGATTAGTTCGTCAATTTTCACATTCTTTGCCATCAATTGAACGATGTCATCCACATTTGTGCAAAGTAGTGAGAATCGTCGAATGTTTGGGTTGGTGTCGAGCAATGATTTTATTTTGTCAGCATCTGGACGCTGCGAAGGTGAATGCCACTCGAGGCTTTCAAGTTTGGCGTATCGTTGTTGCAACCAGTCGGTGCCTGTGAAATTCAAATATCGAACTTCCAAGTGTTTCAGATTTGGTGCATACTTGAAAATGCCATCGTACGGATCCTCGACGATGGCAGCATAATCGATGGTGATGGTCTCAGCGGATTTCAACATGTCGACAAGTTTGATACCAGCACCATCCAATCTGCGCCAATCGTTGAAGTGGATTTCCTTCACAACACCCTCCATCTCTTCGCCCTTGTAGAATTCATTGACCAAGTCTAACTTTGTTTCCAGGCCATCACCGTTCAGGATCACATTTCGGATGCTTTTGTCAAAACACTTGATGTACATTTCATCGCGTGGCTCTTTTACCCATGTGCCGTCTTCTTGAATCGATTCAATGCGCATGACCTTCGATGGATATTCTTCTTGAAACTGTTGGCCGCACAAACTGTGCAATCGAGTACAGGTACTACTGAGGGCACACAAGTCATCTAGTGGCAACCGGCGCAGAATATCGTAGCAGCATTCATCCTTCAGTTTCTCGAACGCCGACTTATTCGGTTCGTCATTCTGTTCCCAAAGCATGGCTGTTAATTCACGCTGCGCAAATGATCGTTCTGGAAAAGCGAAGAATACCAATTGGTTACTAACATGCGATTCGATTCGAATACTGCACAATTTATTAAGATGAACGAACAATAAACAAGAGAAGTGTTTTTGTCAGCAAATGATTCATACCCTAAAAATGGCTGCTTCAAAAGACTTATTGCGCAATTGCTGTCTACCAGCGAAAACACTCGTTGTGAAATTCTCAACTAATTGTACAGTCTTCGTTCTTGAGTTGATAAATTCTATTGCGATTGTATTTTAATGATTCGGTAGAGCTCACTTTTGATATAAATCTCAATAAATACGAAGAAAAATCCACAAATTCAATGAAATTTTTGTAAATTATGATCTGAATCACTTGTCAATGATATGCTGTAGTCTACGTCGTTTTGTTTAATGAGTAGCTACATAATGTCATCATCCAAACAGAGTGCGCTTTGCGCTGTCAACATGAATGCAGAATAGATAGGAATTCGAATTCCAAATGAAAAATTTTGTTTGGAGACGATTTTCTATTTATGAGCAAATACAATTTCAGTAGTTAAATTATATATACATATATAAAATTACCACAAACTGAAGTTTACTCCACCAAAAATACACTCAGTTGTATTAAACAATCGGATTGGATAATTTCCTTTTCAAAGCGGGAAACTTGAGTTTTTAAACAACGCATAGACACGATACACACGATATACATATATAAACAAAAATATCCTTGGTAAGCGAGTGTTGGAGTGCAGTATGGTGCACCTAAGCGTAAAATAAAAAGTAAGCTTTTTCTATGAAAACATTCTGGTTTGAAATATGCAAACAATTTTTTTTCTCGTTATTTCGTAGTCACTTTTTTCTGAAAGAAATTTGAATTGGTAGTATTGACAGTGAAAGAATTGAAACTTGAACAGATCCACTGAACGCGTTTAATGATCATTGAATTCAGGTTACGAGATATGTCAACATTTAGTGGGGAAAATACACATGACAGTTCTTTCCACATTGTGTAAAGGAGATAATAAATGAGTCATTCCATTCAGAGTGTAAGCAATTTCGCAACAAAAATAGTCTCAAAGTAATTATTTCTGATCGAAAAAATCAATTGAAACGTTCGGATTCGAAACATCAAAGCAATCAAAAGATTTTTCGTGTAGTGAGTATTTTGATATGAAATTTTAAAAATAAATTTGTTTTCACAATGCGCAAGGCGCTATGACTCATAGTCTTGTTTGAGTTCTGAATGTATTTTTTTGTAATCCGAAACAGCAATGGCCGACAACGTGTTTGAAAAAGACAACCACTTGACTCGCAACAATTCCGAAAAGTTGTACTTGGATGCGAAAACGGCTGATGTGAAATTTGTGTTTGGCAAAGGCACTGACCACGTTGAAACTGTTCCTGCTCATAAGAATATCCTGTCGGTCAGCAGCCCAGTGTTTGATAAGATGTTCTATGGTTCACTGCCCGAACAAGGTGACGTCCCAATCGTTGATGCATATGCTGCAGCGTTCAAGGAATTCCTGCAATTCTTCTATTTGGCTAAAGTTCGACTCACGTCCGAGCACATCATTGATGTGTCGAATTTGTGCAAGAAGTACGAGCTAGTGGAAGGGCTGGCTATCTGTGAAGAGCCATTGCAAAAGTCATCCACCAACAACGAGATGTGTTCCGGCTATGCGTTGGCCATGCTGCCTGAGATACCGAACACGATACAGTTCTGCGAGCAAAAAATCAAATCGAACGCGGAAGCAATTTTGAAATCGACCAGTTTTTTGGAATGCAATCGCGAACTGCTCGACAAAGTCATTCAGTTGGTGACTCCGAAGTGCAGTGCATCGGCTTTTGTTGATGCATGCATGGCCTGGGCCAAGGCCGAATGCGGACGTGATAATCTGCAAGAAACTCCAGCAAATCTCAAAGCT